TCTTCTTGTGTTTAAGAAAATGGCCTGGAGTATACTTTTCAGGACAGTAATAACATAAGCCATCCTTCCGACGTTGAACCATCTCGGCATTAGTAAGAAACTTCTGAGGAGCGTATTCCTTTTCAGGCGTTTTCTCCACTTGTGTAGGTCGCATCTCTGAATCCTTTCGACGAAAGAACTGAGGTTTCTTGGGATGAGCTTGTTCATACAACCTCCCAAGAAGTAAGCACTGACGAACAGAGGTTGGTTGGAACATGCGCACATGCATCTGCGTTTCTGTTTGGAGACCAGCTAAGTAATGGCGAACTAAATAATCTTCAGAGAAGTTCACTCGAGTACGCAAGAGTTCAAACCGGCCATGGTACTCAACGATGCCGTTAGTCTCTTGTAAACGCTTTAACTCTAGAATAGGGTCGTCCAAAATATCTTCAAAACGTTCGTGTAGTCGTAGTTTGTAAGCGGGCCAGCTAGAGAGAACCGATTGACCAAGTTCAGATTGCACAATCGATTGATGCCAATTAGCGGCAAGACCATCGAAGTGAACTGAAGCGATGTTGACTTTCAAGTCTTCCGGTGTGTTGTCAATGGAGAAGAATTGTTCGGCTTGAAAGAGCCACTCTTGAAATCGATCACCAGAAAACCTTGGGAACTCTATCTTAGCAAGTCGTGTCATTCCTGAGTAAGGTGTAGAAGGAGTAGGGCGAGGACGGTGGGAATCATGAGTAGTAGTAGGTCCGGGAGGTGAGAACGATGGTGAGTTGTTGTCAGGAGAGGGATTAGGCGACGAAGAAGCGACGTTATCGGACAACGAACGAATCGCGTCGAACATACCAGCTAAGTCTTTATCTATCTTGTGGAGCTGTTTGTCCATCTTTTCCTCCAGATCATTATGGCGGTTGTACATCTCTTCAAGGCGAGGACCTAGGGCAGATTCAATTTCTCCAAGAATTGACTCCTTCAAGGCTGTTTGAGAGCGTGTTTGTGCGTCGGACATCTTTTCCGGAGAATCGATCGACGTCTGATACCTTTGGTAGAGCTAATTCGTGATATCTCAGTAACCGGATAGTGACGGGAATCAACGTTCTTAAAACGCGAACTCCTTACTCAATTGCAGAGAAGATTCTCAGCTAGGGTTGAGTTACTTGTGAAGAAAGCTAATAAAAGAACGAGTTCTGTAAATTTCTGAATGTATTGATAATGAAACTTACAATCCTTTAAATAATAAAACCAACACCGACTTATAGTCTAAATAAGGAAAACCAAAACTTAAATCAAAACCAAAACCAAAACCGACTTTGAAATATGTAAATTATCTATATCAGGCAGGTTTGGGACGTCTTGCTTTTGATGATGGCTTCTTCCTCAAGGAAGAAGTACTCTTTTTCTTACGCATTTTGATGCATAAAACAGCACAATCCCAGTGGTCACCTTTCAACAGAGCACCACTTTGCTTTCTCTCACTGTAATATATAAAACGATTAACAACCTGACACTATAATCCGAATCTAAGATTCTAGCTTAGCTAGAATCTGAGAAAGTAGAAAGTACGAGATGGCTACAAACTTAGATGGCAATCGTTGAAAGTCTCGAGATCATCACCAAAGGAGAAAAACTTACATTTATAAAACGAAACCAGACGAAGAAGACCGAAGAAGCTTGATTTGAGAATACAAAGGATGAAAGGAGAAGCACAGTTTCTAAACCCTCCTCGCTCCTCCTCTAGCCTAGGGTTTTAATTCTTGCTTATAAACCCCTCATTTTTAATACTTATACTAAATAAACCCTTTAATCTTATTTAATACGTTTTCATACCTTTTACGTGTGATTATAGTTTGTTTCATGCTATTCGTCATAGATTCGTTGATCATTCAATGCGTGTGATAATCGTATGTTCATGAGATAATACGAAGATGATTGTAGTTTAAACAAAACAAAGCCAGATTAAGTTTGGTTTTTTTCCTTAATGATTCAAAAAAAGGTTTTAAACCACACAAAAGCAGTAATGAGGAATCCAAATTCCCAAGGGAGAAAAACGAATGAAAAGAGAAGAAACAACTCCAACAGTAAAATGTATGGGAAGAGAGTGAAAAGGCAAAGATCAAACGGTTTCAAGGAAGTTAGGAGAGGTTCAAGGAAGCGAGCTGCTCGGATGCACCACCAGCAGCAACGCTCCTGAGAACATCCATAGCCTCTGCAACTTTGGCCTTGAGAGCTTCTGGCGACTCCAAGAGATGGAGAACTTCGGTCTGGTCCATCTCCAAAAGCATCCCTGTCACTTTAGCTGCAGATTCCGCTTCAAGCTGCTCCACCAATGGGTACAGATTCTCACCCAACAGCTGTACACACCAAAACTCACAGCATTAATAATAATAATTCCAAACAAAAGCAAAACTCTCTATTGGTCTTTAAGAGATTCTCTCACCGTCCTCTGCTGCTCTGGAGAAGCATTAGCCAGATTTGAAGCCAAAGCTCCAACGGGCATTGGTAGGTTGTTGTTGCCCATGTCATACGGAGGCACATCACCACCACTACCACGCCCTTGGGGAAACCGGTACATCCGTCCTCTTGGATGCATCTGATCACAACCAAAACAGAAAGCAAATCATACAATCATTAAAAGAGAGATGAGCAAGCCAAAACAGTTCTTATCGCAAATGAGAAAGAACCTGGTGCTGCATCATGGGAACTTGCTGATGGGACTGTTGCATCCCTCCAGAGCGTCCTCTTCCTCCTCCAGGACGCTGCTGCTGTGGCTGAACCATAGGCATGAAGTAATTGGGTACAGGTCCCCCGCCAGGTCTCATTCCAGGAACAAGCTGTTGTTGGTACCCATACCCAGCCTGTGGCATTACACAATCACAAGTTTAATATCACCCCGACAGTTTTGGAGAGGCTCAAGTGTGAATGTAGCTAACTATAGAGCTAAAGACAGAGATTTTACAACTTCTAGTAAGATAAACAAGTGAATTACAACAGAGACGATACACAAAGATGGCAGACAGTGCGACGGAAATTGATGATTACCTGGGGAGGAATCATGTTAGGAGGAGCCTGACCGTAGAACATTTGTTGTCCAATACCAGGACCACCCGGGGGAAATATCGGCATGCGAGGACCACCAGATGGCGGCATTGCAACTGGCCTCACTTGGGAAAACTGAGCCTGTTCACATCATGAACACAGTAAGAAGCATGAGATAAAAAATGAGAGAACAATGTGACGAAAATATACCAGAATAATTTCAAACACGTAACAGGAGAACTCCAAACCATGCGGAAGTGATCAACAATATAGTTGGAGATTAATTCTTAGTCTAATTAGCAATTCTTCTATTAGTTGCATGTTGTTCTTTACAATCTACATAATTGTACTTGTGCAATGGAAACTGATACGAATTGAAGTCATTTCTGTATTCTCATCACATTTGAATCATGCTAAATTGGTTAACAACTATGAAGATACGTCAGCATCGATGATGAAATATTAACAAAATGGATCATTTTAAGACTCAGATATGACAGGTCCACTTGTTTAGAATTGACATACAGACAGACAAAGTAGGAGTAGTTGGTATATCGCAAGATGAGGTGATTCCAAGAGAAGCAAACCTGTAGTCTGACCCTTCTGTCTTCCTTTCGCTGTGCAATGGCAACATAGAGTGGCTTGCTTTCGATCATTTTACCACTCAACTGTGTCATCTGTACAATATTCCACTGTTAGTAACAATGGAAGTTCCTTTCCTCACACATATACTCAACAAGAGAATATAACTGACTTACAGCTTCTGTTGCTTCTTCAGGAGTTGAGAAAGCAACAAAACCCGAGCCTTTGCTTAGGCCATTAGGATCACGCATCACCTGTCATATTTCATGAAAGAGCTTCTTATATAGTGAATCAAGAGAGTCAATTGATTGCAGATCAAAAGAGAGAGGGTATCGAACCTTGCAAGATGTAACGGTACCAAAAGGAGAAAATATCTCTTTGAGTTTCTCGTCAGAAATGGTAGGATCCAAATTCTTCACATACAAGTTTGAACATTGAAACTTGTCTGCAGCATCCTTCAAATTCTGTTCATAACGGACCCTTAGTTCTGTTTCCCTCTCGGACTTCTTCTGGGCTCTGCCAACATACCACTCCTTATCATCAAATTTGTGGCCATTGAGAGCCTCCACAGCCCTAGCAGCATTATCAGCTTTTTCAAAGTTAACAAACCCAAAGCCCTTAGACTTGCCGTCTCCATCTCTCATCACCACAGCACTTGTTATCTTTCCATACTCGCTAAAAGCGTTCATCAAGTCATCATCAGTAGTATTTTCCCCGAGATTCTTCACATACACATTGGTGAATGTCGTCTTGTTAGCACTCGTGTCTCTGTCTTGTCTCCTCAGGAAAGGACCCACATACACTTGCTTGTCATTTAGCAACATGCCGTTCAGTTGCTCAATAGCTTTCTGGGCAGATTCTTCACTAGCGTATTGCACAAAGCCATAGCCTTTTGACTGGCCTGAAGGATCCACAGCCAACTTGCACGACACAATGTTCCCAAACGTTGAGAATGTATCATGAAGTGCTTTGTGGTCGATGGCCAGGTCCAGATTCTGCAATATTTACAGCAAGGTTTACTGAAGAGAAACAACTACTCGAATTTCTTTGTAAGAAACGGAAAGCAGAGAGATTAACATCAAAGAGGAGGACACAGAAAAAAAGTACCTTGATGAATATGTTCCCAGCGCCACTTCGGCGAACACTAGGATCACGATGAGAATACATCACCCTTATAGGCTTCCCATAAAGAGGTACGTAATTCAGTTCCTGGATCGCTCTTGCAGCTGCAACAGAGGGCACGAGAAATGTAGCATTAAGAGACTGATGTGTGCATGTGAAATAACAAGCAGCGGATAAATTTCAATGCAACAGCATCAAACACATTGAGAGAATATACACATAAACTCCAGAGAGGAACAACATTTCCAACACACCCCAGTCAAATCTTGTATTTAGCAGCATCGAGAAAACCCTAATCCCCTTCTACTTTCTTTGAAATTGGAAATTGCTTGTTTGTAAGAAACTCAAATTCAGAAGGCATACCATCTTGAGGATTGGTGAAGTTCACGTATCCATAGCCGAGCGATCTGCGGGTAGCCAAATCCCTACAGACTCGAACCGAGACCACTTGACCCATTTGGCTAAACGCATCGAAAAGCTGCGAATCAGTCACATTGAAATCCAGATCCCCCACGTAGAGCGACGTGGTGCCGAACTGACTCGCCGGTGCTCCCGCTGCCGGAGCCGCCGGAGAAGTGTTAGCCACAGTCGAGCCATTCGCAGTCTGACCTTGAGGTTGAATCTGCGCCATTCTCTTTTTTTGATTTTTGAAACTTTTTTGACTTTTTTTGGGGTTTTAATTAATCTTCCCTCCCCTCTTGTTATTAGACTGAAACCAAATCGAAAACCCTAAAATCGAAAGAACAGGCTAAAATGAAGCGGAAGGCAAAAATCAAACAAAGCTAAGCGAATATTTTCTCTTTTCGTTTTACTTTTTTTTTTTTAGTGTGGATTTTTCTGTGGTCTGGGGATAGCAGAGGAGAGGGAAGAAGAAAAGGGTAAGAACTTGCCGGCGGCGAAGCCTGCGACGGCGAGTGAGATAGAGAAGATATCGGGGCGAGAGATTCTAGGCGAAACGAATTGCGAGAGATGAAAGAGAAGGCATTACGGTTTCCTTTTTCTCTGGTTTTATATTACGAAAATATTTTTATTTCCCTTGTAACCTAGAAATGGATTTAAGGAAGATCTCAGCCGTTGGATTTGAGTCTGAAGTGAAACGTATGATTTGTACTTTGTAAGTTTGTAGAGATATGCTTGTAATTTTGTTTTTTTTTAATGATTATGTTATGTAATATGTAACCCACACATTCATAGATTATAAGATAGCCAGTAACTACAGTACAAGTCGTTCTTACTTCACAAATTTTCTTTGAATTAGAACTTGCTAATCACTAATAAGATTCTTCAACACTATTCATTCTAAGCTTCTTGTTAGATTGTACGTCTAAGCCTAAGTCCAGTATCAACATCTCCCTAACGCTCTACCAAGACACCACCATCTCCTGCATCCTCACTGCATTGGTTCTGGTTAAACCAAATATGGAAATGGTGTGGGACTGTCTTCAAGAGCTCGGCGCTGTTAGCCATATGGGTACGTGGTTTTTGCTGTATTTTTGTTATTTTTTTCGATTTTTGAGATACTCCAAACTCTTTTGACCCTAGATTCTATGGTTGCCATCTGAATAGGTTTTTATCATTCCGGTACTAGTCGGACTTCTGTTTGAACTATTGGTGATTGTCCCAATGAGAGTCCCAGTAGATGAAAGCCCTGTCTTCCACCTGTATCATGACTGGGCTCTTGGCCTCATCTTCTGGAAGATCTGGACTAGACTGGTAAGTATTTTTCTCCCCTTTGCCGCATTAGAGAGATATCATGTCGCTAAAATAACGACGTCAATGAACAGGTAATGTTGGATCATTTGCTCCCAGTAGTGGGTCGTAGCTGGAGAGCAAAGTTTAAGAGAGTGAGAGACGATGGCTTCTCAAAGCTTCAAATGTTATGGGCACTCAGAGAGATTGTATATCCGATTGTGATGAAACTCCTAACAGCATTGTGCGTGCCTTATGTCCTGGCGAGAGGAGTGTTCCCAATTCTCGGATATCCGCTAGTTGTGAACTCTGCGGTCTACAGATTTGCTTGGATAGGTTGTCTCTCGGTGAGGCTCTTCTGCTTCTGTGCAAAAAGATGCCTTGTGTGGGTCTGGAAACTTCACAACTCCATCCGTGATGAACGTTATGTCATCGCTCGGAGACTCCATAACTTTGGGGAAGCTGCTTAATGCTATTTCAAACACAATCTCCAACAACAATAGGTTAGGCAATATTTCTTACGATATATCGAGTGGGAATATTGAAGGAGCCATCCATATCGCAAGTTTGACTGGTAAAAAAACCAGAATGACAGTCAAACTCCCATCGATTGCATATTCTAACAAAACCTCCCGAGCAAGCTTGTGTACTGGAACATCAATCAAACCTCGGAAGGTAGCATAAGTATCTTCAGGATCAATAAGGAAATACAAAACTCCAGGGCGAAGAACCTGCAGTTATAGAGATGGCACAGTTGTGGAAAGATAAATAAGATATAGCAGCGCAGAAGTATAGAATAAATTATGAGCAGGGGAAACACAGTACCTTTCCCAGAAGGCAGATGATGTAGTTTACTTGCAGCGCGTACATGGCTCCAACAACCCAATGAACAAGTAAGCTTGCCAGTGGCGAAACTGATAAAAACTGTACTCTGTGGGACATTATTTTACCAAACATCCTAACAGTGCAAACATCTAACCACCACCCATACATCAGTGGGGAGATCCCAAGCACGACGACCACATAAAAGGATCCAAGCCTCATAGCTGGCAAGAACGGCCTAAGAAGGGATGGTACGGCTTTTACTATAGCAGCGATACCATAAACTTTCCCAACGGTCAGTGGCTCACCCTTGGCATCACGAATCAGCGCAATGATCCCGAGGTAAAGGAACACCAGAAAGACTATAAACATGTACCCAACAATCAGAGTTGTAGCATCAGAAAGCTTTGATGATTTAGCAACAGAACCTTTCATGAGATCAGCAGCAAGAGATAGAGTATTGTTTGCTCCATTCCCATTGACTTGAATCATGTCTGTGAGCTGACCAAGCAGTCCATTTTCTTGGCCCTCGTTGGTCAAATTTGAGACAGAAGTCAACAATGATAGTCCAGTATCTATCAAATGCATTGATCCGGTCACGGCAGGGACTCTAGCAGTAAAACGCCACGACACATGATACAGTATAACCCGTCCTAATGTGAAGGGCACAAAGATGACAACACCAACGAATAACACATTTCTTGCTACAGTCTGCAAAATCAATACGCACAACACCAATTAATAGTTTAATGAGAGGCCAAAAGTGAAATAGAGTAACAGCAAGAGGAGAAACATTCAACTTACAGTAAAGACCTTCTTAACGAAACGGAACACCGGACCTGGAATTCCAACTAGTTGGTAAAATGGAACGTGACGGTCTTGTGCACCACCAACAGCAGCACCCTGATCTCCAGCAACTTCGCCGTTTCCCTCTCCAGGAGGTCTTCTTGCGGCACGAACACCATTTCTCTCCCCTTCATCTTCTCTCTCTTCTTGTCCTCCCAACTCTCGCAAGTAATCCCGCAATGAAGTCGCTCCCTTGAAAATTAAGAGACGACAAGCCGATAGTAATGACCCGAGCAAACAATCGGTGAGAATAGCTGTGGTGGAGATGTGGCTTACGAACAACCTCTGAGCTTCACCAAAACTCCGCACAAAAGCAAATCGCCATATCCAAAATGTAACGAAATGAACAGAGAGAAGCGTGACTGAAAGCCGAAAACACAACCGCGGAAACAAGCGCAAAGTCCGGCAACGGCGAGCTTTCTTCACTGTGCCAAGTACAAACTCATGGAAAGGGAGAATTGTGGGAGCATTTTCAGCATACACCGGGGACGACGAAAACGGATGCTTGCAAACCTGCAGAGATGAAATCGCCCAATCGTTTACCCAAAACTCGCAAAATAATCATATAGAAGCAAAATTTCTCTCGAGGATCCATTATCTTAATAGTGATTCGGAATCTACGAAATCCAACCCTAGAAATCAATTCAATCCCGAAATAATCAAGAGGAAAAGAAGCAAAACCTCGCATCGACGAGAGTTTCTTCTGTAAATAAGCCACTTATTGAGGCAATCCAGGTGCACAAACTTGATGCTCCCGCTGCAGGCGCACGGATACCGAAGCGGATTGTTCGCGTCTCCTAGGTTTCTGCAGATCCTGCAAACGTCCTTCTCCTCGTCTTCATCATCATCATCAATGTAACTTCCTCCTTTCTCCGTTGCAACTGTAGGATCCATGGTGGTGGAGAGGTACTGAGACAAGCAAAGGGGTTTTAAGGTTTATAGTTTATATCCTTGGAGGAAAAAATACATTCAAACAAAAAAGTTCCATAGACTTGTTTTTTTTCGTATAATATACGACGCACGAGGCATAATCCTTTTTTTAAGTTTCTATCATTAAAATTAAGTTGTTATTATTGTTTGATCAAAATCCTCCCACTGTCCCACACATTCATAGATTTGAATCAGATTATATAAGATTAGAACGAATCAGTAGACTACAATTCATTCATACTTTACATCTTTTCTTTGAATTAGAACTTGCTAATCCCTAATAAGAGATGATAAGATAGCCTAATCTAATAAGAAATGCTAATATAATCTTCAACACTATACTTTCTAAGCTTCTTGTTAGATTGCACGACTTAGCCTAAGTCCCACTATCACCATCTCCTGCATCCTCACTGCTTTCTTTTGGTTTTGGGTTAGCACTTAGCAGTAAGCAGCTTCCCCAAAGTTATGGAGTCTCAAACCAACGAGATAACGTTTATCACGGATGGAGTTGTGAAGTTTCCTGACCCGCACATGACATCTTTTCGCACAGAAGCAGAAGAGGATCACCGAGAGACAACCTATCCAAGCAAATCTGTAGACCGCCGAGTTCACAACTAGCGGATATCCGAGCATTGGGAACACTGCTCTCGCCAAGACATAAGGCACGCATAGTGCTGTTAGGAGTTTCATCACAATCGGATATACAATCTCTCTGAGTGCCCATAACACTTGAAGCCTTGAGAAGCCATCTTCTCTTACTCTCTCAAACTTTGCTCTCCAGCTATGACCCAATATTGGAAGCATAAGATCCAGCATTACCTGTCCATTGTCGTCGTTATTTACGTGACATGATATATCTCTCATACGGCAAAAATTGCTAACGGGAGACAAATACATACCAGTTTAGTCCAGATCTTCAAAAATATGAGTCCAAAAGCCCAGTCTTGATACAAGAGGAACACAGGGCTTTCATCTACTGGGACTCTAATTGGAACAATCACCAATAGCTCAAACAGAAGTCCGACAAGTACCGGAATTATAAAAACCTGTTCAGAAGCCATTTCAAAACCATAGAATACAGAGTCAAACGAGTTTGGAGTGTCTCAAAAATCGGAAATAATAAACAACAGTAGAAACCACTTACCCATATGGCTAACAGCACCGAGCTCTTGAAGACAATCCCACACCATTTCCATATTTGGTTTAGCAAGACTGAAGTCCTCTTTGAATTGACATGCTCGATGGCATACCTAGCCCCAGATATGGAAGTCCAAAAGGCGTATGTGCCAATGAAGAAAGCAAACAGGTCTAAAGATTTAGGAGATTCTATTAGTAATGTGTGGCTGTTTGAAAGAGTGAAGTGCGTAAGACCAAAGTTAACCGACGTTACCATTGCATTTGATGCCATGCGTTATTGGGAGAATTGGGATGGCACTAAATAAAGCACGCCCAATAGAAACTGGTACAACTATCATTCCTAAGTTGAAGAGAAGAAGAGTCACCCATGCAACAAGTAGAAGAAGGATTATCCGGGCAACAAAGTTGTACCTGTTACAAAAATACATTTATTTAAGGGGAAGACGTAGTGTAAATCTTAGTTACTTCAAAACAAGCTATTAGCTTATTCCTTAAGTAAGAACTTACTCTGAATCAGATTGTTCTTCATCATTTTCATATTCCTCACGCGTGTTGACATTCCCAGCTGCTGGAAGTGTAACCATGGCCGTGTCATGTCCACCGACCTGCAACACTTGTGCTCTGTTCTGCCTTCCTGGTTCACCATTTACGTTGTCCTGACCAATGTTTTCCTCTGGTCTTGGCAAAAGGTAGTCTGTCAAACCAAACGCCCAACTGACGCCGGTGAACCAGCAGCATAGAAGGGACTTGATTGTGGTCTCGTAATGCTCGATAATAAACGGTATGCATATTTGAAACAGAAGCATGACGGCTGGAATCTCACTAAATGGGTCGGATACACTGCGTAGATGCACGAGTTAGAAAAGACTCACTCAAACACAATCTCCAAAAAAAGCAATAGGTTAGCTAGTATTTCTTACGATATATCAAGTGGGAATATTGATGGGGCCATCCATATCGCAAGTTCGAGTGGTAAAAACACCAGCATGACCATCAAACTCCCAATCCCTGCATATTCTAACAAAACCTCCCGAGCAAGCTTGTGTACTGGAACATCAATCAAATCTCGGATGGAAGGATCATCATTTTGAGGATCAGTAAGGAAATAGAAAACTCCAGGGCGAACAACCTGCAATCATAGAGATTGGCACAATAGTGGATTTATAAATTATAGCAGCGAAGAAAGAACCTGTTTTCTAGAATAAAATTATGAGCAGGGGAAACAATGTACCTCTTCAAGAAGGCTGGCGATGTAGCATATTTGCAACTCGCAGATCATTCCAACAACCCAATGAACAAGTGAGCTTGCCAGTGGAGAAACTGATAAAGACTCTACTCTGTGGGACATTGTTTTACCAAACATCTTAACAGTGCAAACATCTAGCCACCAGCCACACATCAGGGGGTAGACCCCAATCACGACGACCACAAAAAAAGAAACCTCTGAGTCCAATCCTCATTGCTGCTAACAAGTGTCTAACGAGTACAGTTTCTACTTTAGGAGCGATACCACAAAGTCTCCCAAAGGTCACTGGCTCACCCTTGGCATAACGAATCAGCGCAATGATCCCGAGGTAAAGGAACACCAGAAAGACTATAAACATGTACCCTACAGTCAGAGCTGTCACATCAGATAGCGTTGATGATCCGGCAACAGAACCTTTCATGAGATCAGCAGCAACAGATAGAGTTTTGTTTACTCCATACAATTCACTTCCACTGACTTTCATCATTTCTGTGAGCTGACCAATCAGTCCATTTCCTTGGCCCTCGTTGGTCAAATTTGAGACAGAAGTCAACGCACTCTTCAGAGCTATATTTCCCAATGATAGTCCAGTATCTATCAAATGCATTGATGCGGTCACGGCAGAGCCTCTAGCAGCAACAAAAAGCCACGACATGTGATACAGTGTAAACCGTCCTAATGTGAAGGGCACAAAGATGACAGCACCAATGAATAACACATTGCTTGCTAGAATCTGCAAAAACCAAGGAATATGTTAATGATGTGAAGGACAAGTGAAATACAGCTGAAAAACAATAAATCAGCAAGAGGAGAAGCATTAAACTTACAGTAAATGCATTCTCAATTAAACGAAACACCGGACCCTGCATCCCAACCAGCTCGTAAAATGGAATGTCATCTATGTCATCTGCACCATTAGCGTCGTCCAAGCCACCAACAGCCGCACCCTGATCTCCACCATCTCCGCCATTCCCCTCTGCAGCAGGTCTTCTCGCAGCAGGAACACCATTTCTCTCCTCTTCATCTTCTCTCTCTTCTTGTCTTCCCAACTCTAGCAAATCCGTAAAGTGATCCAACAATGAAGTGGCTCCCATGAAAATGCAGATAAGACAGGCCGAGAGTAAGACCCCGTGAAAACAATCGGTGAGAATAGCTGTGGTTGAGATGTGCCTTAAGAACAATCTCTGAGCTTCACCAAAACTCCGCACAAAAGCTAACCGCCATATCCAAAATGTGATGAAAGGGATAGCGGGAAGCCAGACAGATAGCGCAAAACTCAACCGCAGAGAGAAGTGCAAAGTCCGGGAACGGCGAGCTTTGATCGCAACGCCAACTACAAACTCATGGAGAGGGAGCCTTGCGGGAGCATTTTCAGCATACACTGGAGATAACGAAAAGGGATGCTTGCAAACCTGCAGAGATGAAATCGCCAATTCGTTTACCCCAAAACTCGCAAACAATCATATAGAAGAATCGGAAGAAGCAATTGACAAAATTTCTCAATAGTGATCCGGATTCTACAAAAATCCAACCCTAGAAACCGATTAAATACCGAAATAATCAAGAGGAAGAGAAGCGAAACCTCGCATTGACGAGCGTTGCTGCTGTAAGTGAGCCACTGAAAGAGGCAATTCTGGTGCACAAACTTGATGCTCCCGCTGCAGGCGCACGGATACCGAAGCGGATTGTCAGCATCTCCTGGATTTCTGCAGATCCTGCAAACGTCCTCCTCCTCGTCTTCTTCATCTTTGATGTCCCTCCATTCTCTCGCCGTTGCAACTGGGGGATCCATGGTGGAGAGAATGGTGGGAGATGTCTGAACCTCGTTCATACTGAGAAGAAGAGAAATTGGGGTTAAGGGTGGTTTATTATTATCCTTTGAGGAAATAAAGTTAATAAAAAATATAGAGTCAATTAATTCAAAAACTATAGTCTCATCTCATTTACTTGTTTTTGCGAATAATATTTATCACGATGCGTGTTACGCACGGGCTTAATTTTTGTATATTTAGCATATGTACATGAGTACTCCCGTAGTCCCATTACATATGTTGGCACGTTTTCAGATCAAATATTCTATAAGCAAATCGTTGTTTCTAGAAGAATCTTAATAGTTCATGGTAACAAGAAAAAACGAAAAATAAGAGCTGAGAGACAAGACTTTGATTCAATACAATACACATTACAATACAAGTATGGACAAACGAAGCGTAAATGACTTATTTCTAAAGATCTTTTAGTTTTGATGAAAAAAAGGAGGATCAACGGATAATTACACATCGACTAATAAAAAGTCTTTCAAAGCATAGGTATACAAATGTTAAAACACCTCGGTGAACACTTTCGATTTTGATTCACATCACCTGACAAAACACTATTTCATTCTAAGCTTCTTGTTGGACTGCACGTCTGAGCCTAAGTCCAGTATCAGCATCTCCCTCACGTCCTATCAACACCCCACCACCATCTCCAGCATCCTCACTGCTTTGGTTTTGGTTTTGGTTCCGGTTAGCCAAAGCAGCTTCCCCAAAGTTGTGTAGTCTCCGACCAATGAGATAACGGTCGTCACGGATGGAGTTGTGCAGGTTTCTGAACCAGACGTGGCATCTTTTCGCACAGAAGTAGAAGAGGCTCACGGAGAGACAACCTATCCAGGCGAATCTGTAGACCGCCGAGTTCACAACTAGAGGATATCCGAGCATTGGGAACACTCCTCTCGCCAAGACGTATGGCACGCATAATGCTGTTAGGAGCTTCATCACGATCGGGAATACAATCTCTTTAAGTACCCATAACCCTTGAAGCCTTGAGAAGCCATCTTCTCTTACTCTCTCAAACTTTGCTCTCCAGCTATCATTCACTATCGGAAGCATGTGATCCAGCATTACCTGTCCATTGTCGTCGTTATATTAGTAACACAATAATTATCTCTCATGCGGCAAGAATGCTAAGGGGAGAAAAGTACTTACGAGTCTAGTCCAGATCTTCAAAAAGATGAGTCCAAGAGCCCAGTCTTGATACAGGAGGAAGACGGGGCTTTCATCTACTGGGACTCTCATTGGGACAATCACCAATAGCTCAAACAGAAGTCCGATTAGTACCGGAATGATAAAAACCTGTTCAGTAGCCAACCATAAAATTCAGAGTCAGAAGTGTTCGGAGTACTCTAAAAGTCGAGAAAAACTAAACAACAGCACAAACCACTTACCCATATGGCTAACAGCACCGAGCTCTTGAAGACAATCCCACACCATTTCCATATTTGGTTAAGCAAGACTGAAGTCCTCTTCGACTTGACATGCTCGATAGCATACCTGGCGCCAGATATGGATGTCCAGAAGGCATATGTGCCGATGACGAAAGCATACAGATCTAAAGATTTCAGAGATTCCGTTAGTAAATGTGGGACCGTTTGAAAGAGTGAAGTGCATAAGATCAAGGTTAGCAGACATTACCATTGCATTTGATGCCATGGGTTATTGGGAGAATTGGGATGGCACTAAATAGAGCACGCCCAAGCGAAACTGGTACAACTATCAATGCTGAGTTGAAGAGAAGAAGAGTCACCCATGCAACAAGTAGAAGAAGGATTATCCGGACCACAAAGTTGTACCTGCTACGAAAACGCATTTATTTCAGCGGAAGACGTAATGTAAATCCTGATGTACCTAGTCAACTCTATAAACCAAGCGAACACTTCTGTTTCCACAAATTATTAACATCAAAACAAGCTATTTGCTTTTTTCTAAGGTAAAAACTTACTCTGAATCAGACTGTTCTTCATCATCTTCGTATTCATCACTCGTGTTAGGACGGAGGAGATTTCGGTTTAGATCATCAGCCGCTGGAAGCGCAGCTATGGCTCTGTCAGGTCCACCGACCTGCAATACTTGTGCTCTGTTCTGCCTTCCTGGTTCACCATTTCCATTTTCCTGACCAACGTTGTCCTCTGGTCTTGGCAATAGGAAGTCTGTCAAACCGAGTGCCCAACCGACGCCGGTAAACCAGCAGCGTAGAAGGGACTTGATTGTGGTCCGGAGTCTAAAATGCTCGATGATAAAAGGTATGCATATTTGAAACAAGAGCATGTCCGCCGGGATCTCAGTGAATGGGTCGGATACACTGCAAACATGCACAAGTTAGGAAAGATCTACTGAAGCAAAAAATCTCCAAATCAGGTTAGCCAATATAACTTACGATATGTCGAGCGGGAACATTGAAGGAGCCATCCGGATTGCAAGTTTGACTGGTAAAAATACCAGCATGACAATCAAACTCCCATACACTGCAACAGATAACAGAACCCTCCGAGCATGTTTGTGTACTGGATCATCAATCAAATCTCGGAACGGATTGTAATTAGGATCTGCAGGATCACGAAGGAAATACAAAACTCCAGGGCGAAGAACCTGCAATTATCACAATAGTCGAAAATATATTAGATTGCAGCGGAGAAGAAACCAGTTTCTAAAACATTATTATGAGCATGTAAACACAGTACCCCTCGAAGAAGGCTGACGAAGATGCTTATTTGCAGCATGTACATGATTCCAACAACCCAATGAACAAGTGAGCTTGCCAGTGGAGAAACTGATAAAAACTGTACTCTGTGGGACATTGTTTTACCAAACATCCTAACTGTACAAACATCTAGCCACCAGCCACACATTAGGGGGAAGACCCCTAGCTCGATGACCAAAAGAAAGGCAACTTTAATCATAGTCATCAGATGCCTCATTGCTGCCAAGAACTGTCTAAGAAGAGACGGTACAGCTTCCACTATAGAAGCGATACCATAGAATCTCCCAACGGTCAGTGGCTCACCCTTGGCATAACGAATCAGTGCAATGATCCCAAGGTAAAGGAACACCAAAAAGACTATAAACATGTACCCAACAGTCAGAGTTGTAACATCGGATAGCTTTGAGGATCCAGCAACAGAACCTTTCATGAGGTCAGCAGCAACAGAGAGAGTATTATTTGCTCCATTCAAGTCACTTCCATTGACTCTCATCATTTCTGCGAGCTGACCAATCAGTCCATTTCCTTGGCCCTCGTTGGTCAAATTTGAGACGGAAGTCAACGCATTCTTCAGAGTTATATTTTCCAATGATAGTCCAGTATCTATCAAATGCATTGATGCGGTCACGGCAGGGCCTTTAGCAGCAGCAAAAAGCCACGACACGTGATACAATATAACCCGTCCCAATGTGAAGGGCACAAAGATCACAACACCAAGGAATATCATATTGCTTGCTAGAACCTGCAAAATTATACACATCGTGAAGATTAAAATGAGGGGCCAAAAGTGAACAGCAAGTGGGCATAGAATTTAAAAATAAATCAGCATGAGGAGTAACATTCAACTTACAGTGAAGGCATTCTCAACCAAATGAAACACCGGACCCTGCATTCCAACCAGCTCGTCAAATGGAACATCTTCTGCACCATCAGCATCGTCCAGTCCATCAAACATTTGTTCAACCTGAGCCTCGAGACGGGCTGCTTGTATGTCTAACCTTGCCAGAACATTTTCAGGATTCCTTCTAACGATCTGACCAGCAGCAGCACCCTGATCTCCAGCATCTTCGCCATTCCCCTCACCAGCAAGATTCCTATTAGCTTGTCCAGCTGGTCTTCTTGCAGCACGAGCACCATTTCTCTCCCCTTCATCTTCTCTCTCTTCTTGTCCTCCCAACTCTCGCAAATGCCTAAAGTAATCCCTCAATGAAGTCGCTCCAAGGAAAATGAAGACAATACTAGCCGACAGTAAGAACCCATGCAAACAATCAGTGAGGATTACTGCGGTGGAGATGTGGCTTAAGAACAATCTCTGAGCTTCACTAAAACTCCGCACGAAAGCCAATCGCCATATCCAAAATGTAATGAAGGGAATAGTGAGAAGCCAGACAGAAAGCACAAAACTCAACCGCAGAAAGAACTGCAAAACGTGGCAAGCTTTCATCGCAATGCCAACAACAAACTCCTGGAAGGGGAGCCTTGTGGGAGCATTTTCAGCGTACACAGGGGAGAAGGAAAACGGATGCTTGCAAACCTGACAAATCAAATTAACAACAATAAGCGTCAATCACTCTATCGAATCTGAATCGTAAATTTTAGGCTATTGAGGGAAAAATACATAAAATGATCAAATCTATCATCAAACTGTGACAATACGGAATTCAATAAGGCTACTAAAAACCAAATAAAAGCCAAGCCTTTACAAAACCATTCGATCCCGAGCTCAAGACAACAGAATTCACACCAACGATCATGCATTTGGTTAATGAGCAAGCAAAGATGGTATGGAATGGCCCATTCATATACACAAACTCTTAAACCATCTAGAAAAAAGCAGAAAAAAACAATGGAACAAAAAAAGTTGAACCATAAAAAATCCGTTCAATTCGAAGTTCCTCAAAGACATCCAAAATTAACACGAATCCAGATCTTCATAGCAATTTGGAAATCAGAAAAAAAATCCTGCATGTGCTTCTGCGGAGAAACCCATCAATCGATAAAAACAAAGAGGGGAAGAAATAAAAACCTCGCATTGACGAGCGTTGCTGTGATTAAGCCACTGAAGGAGGCAATCCTGGTGCACAAACTTGATGCTCCCGCTGCATGCGCACGGATACCGAAGCGGATTATCCGCATCCCCAGGATTTCTACAGATCCTGCAAACGTCCTCCTCATCTTCGTCATCATCAACGTACCTCGACCCTGTCGCCGGCGCAACTGGGGGATCCATGGTGGAGAAAGGGGAGGGAGAAGCCTGATTCGGCGAGGAAGCAGCAAGGGACGAGGATGAAGGAGAAGATACGGACGGTTCCGATACGACCTCAGAAGCGGCTGCGCCAGAGATGGATAGCGATTCGGCCGAGGAAATCTCCATGGAGAAATCCGGGCTATGAATAAAGAAAAGTGCTCAGATGGTGGTGGTACCGGCGGCGGTGGCGGGTGATTTGGGGAGACGAGTCGACTCGCTGAGTCTGATAACGCCGAGCTACGAGAAAATTGGTCGTATCGATCGATTATTTTTATTATCCTCTAAAAGATTGAAAAAGACGAAGGCACCGAAGTAAATTGATTATGTTATATGGTTGGCCTAGACCGGGACTTGTAAACCGGTATGTTGACGAAATTGACCTTCCCTCTTGTTCGTTCATTAATTGAAGCTTTTTGTCGGTTACGCGTCTTTAGTATTTGATTTGGGCCGAAGTAGAAACGAAAAGCCCATATATAAGGTCGAAGCCCATAACTGATCAGCTTCTGAGAGTTAATGGAGAGGAGTGAAGAGAAGAGAAAGAAAAAAGATAGAGAGAGATAAGGAGCCATGGGTTCGCTATTGATGCAAATGACTCCTTTCACTGCTCTCCCTTTGCGCCATATCAGAGCTAGCGTCTCGTGTTGTTCTTCTGGTAATCTTCTTTCTATTGAGTGTGGAAACTTAATGTGATTGTAGAAGTATAAAAAATGCACATTGGGATTTGACTTACGAATAAAGTTGTTGAGCAGGGCATGTATCATTCATCAAAGATGTTGCTGCCACTGAACCTCCAATGCATCTTCACCACTTACTCAAAGTTCTTGAAAAAAGAGGTTAAATGAAATGCTCAATTTTTTCTCCCTTATCATGTCCAAACTCAAAGATGTTAGAATCTCAGGTGTTATCATCTTGCAGGTGAAACAATCATATCTCCTGGAGCCAAGCAGGGACTGATCCCACTTGCTATTCCGCTTTCAAAGAATTCTTCAGGTAAGACGCACCTTTGAGCCATTCCATTAGCTTTTTCTTTTTTTCAGCAGCTGCTGTTTAATTTTAGTTCTCCGGCTTATTTATTGTCTAAGTAGGCTCTGTTACTGCGCTTCTGAGATGGCCTACTGCTCCACCAGGGTATGAGATTTGGATCTTTCTTTGGTAATGCTGTTTAGATATTCTTGATTTTTGACTCTTCTGCTGTTTCCAAGAACAGAATGGATATGCCGGTTGTTGAAGTTTGGAGGAGTGGAGTCCGGCTTATAGCTAAAAATGTAAAGTCTTTTTCACTGCAACCAAATTTTCATTTCCATTAAATAAAAAGATAAGCAATTCACAGTGTCTAAACATTCAGGTAGATGAGTATATTCACAGGATTTTGGTTGAAGAAGATGCGCAAGAGTTGACAGAACTTTATCACGCTTCAGGGGAGGCAGGCGAGAAGCTATACAAAAAGGGAGCTTTTGCTGAATCTCAGATTGAAAACCTCGATGTCTATGTCTTAAAAAAGGCAAGTCTTAAACCCATTACTTACTTAGCTATATAGAGGAAAGGCATTATGTTACACCACATTAAGACAGTGTGTTGTGTAGGTTGGACTGTTTCCAGATGTGTTGGAGCGGAAAGTATTACGACATTTCGATGAAGGAGATCATGTAAGAATCTTCCAAGCATATATCTCTGAATCCTCCTTTCTGAAAACTTATAAAGGACTTTGCTTTATCCTTGGAAGGTTTCAGCTATGGTGACAGGAGAATTCTACACAAAGAAAGACCTCTTTCCCGGATTTGGACGGCCTTTTGTTTATTACGCAAACATACTGCAGAAGTTTGTAACTTTACTTACATACTTACAGCATCTCTTTGGAGAATGATGATGATGAAAACACTTATCTAAGGTTTGTTATTTACAGGGTAGGACGTAACTCAGAAGCTAAAGACGCAGCTAGAGTAGCACTGAAATCACCTTGGTGGACATTAGGATGTCCTTACGAGGAGGTTGCTAGTATTGCACAATGGGAAGACGAGCAAATCGAATTCATAAGAGAGAAAGTGAGTGAAGAGGGTCGTTTTGAGGATTTGAAGAAAGGCAAAGACCCAATCCAAGTTGCTTTGGATGTTGCGGCCTTTCTCTTGGATTTAGCTTCTATCGAAGGAACTTGGTCTGAAGCTTTGAAAGATATTGCTCAATGTTATGAGGAAGCAGGGTTACATGAAATATCCAAGTTCGTTTTGTACACAGATACCAAATGATGTAAAAAAGAGTCTTTGCTAGCTTCAAACTAAAATCAATAAATTTAGTAATCTTCGTGTATGTCGTATTTTTCTCCTCTCTCATCAGGTGGGGTGTGTAATCTTCTCACAAGTCCCTTTGGATATCGACTCTTTCTGTCAAATGCACGCATGCATACAAACCCTGCACATTATCATCATCATCATCATCACATTGTTTCATGTTAATACTTCAAAAACAAAAACAAACGAAACAAGTCCAAAATTTGTTACCTGCCCAAAAGCAGAATCGAACTCTTTTTCCGTCTAATAATCGGAAAATCGATGTCACCGATGAGCCACAGTATAGTGCACGCTTTTCTAGCCCGTCACACAATTCTCTTGGAAAGACAATAGGTCTCACACTCGTCTCGTAATCTGCGAAGACCTGAAAAGACAAGTAGCAACCTTACATATTCATTACTACTGATAAAATGCAAACCCATATAAGAAAGCAGAAAATACACTCGCCTCATTTGTTTGGAAGTATGTTCCATTGAGAGGGAAACCAGCTCGCGTTGCTGTTCTACAAGGGATCTGTTTCGATACCACAAACATCCATATAAGTTCAAGTCAAACATTCAACAATATTAACAATGTTAAATCTTTAAAATTCAGTTTACCAAGATTGTTCCACGGTAAATGTTTGATTCTTCTTCTCGTAAAGACCAACAACGAGAACAACTCTTGAACTTGCAGAAGTTCAATCCGGTTAACTCACACCTCTGCTTTGGTGGACTCGACGAGTTTAGCGTTTCACCTACAAAGAGTCCAATGAAGAGTTTAGCTTTTATCTTCTATGTGAAAGATGATGATAAAGTTATGCCTTGTGTCGTACCTGGTTGCCAAAGCGCAAGAAGGTATGGACTAGGATCATCATGTGCTCGTTTCTCAAACTAATACAAATAACAACACAAAAACACGTTCTAAGTAGTAATAATCATACAAAAGAGTTACAATATTTTCGGTATTTGTACTTACACCATTGAGGAGCTCGTGGTTATCAGGAAGCACATAACTGCAAAACAAACAATTAGATTACATATTTCTATGGCTAATGAATATGATAATTATGTAAAAATAAATACTTACACCAGATGTTCAGTTCTTAGCCTGTCATAATACTTTAGTTTATGAGGCAGCTCCATTGTAATCAATGCATTTTGTGGAGTTAGAAGTACTAATGCTTTTGATACCTCGTCACTAATACTCTCCTGCATCTTTCCACTTCTTGAAAGTGCATCCATTACATTTTTCTTCAATGCATCCATATCAAAACCAGTTTCAGGAATTTTATCAACAACAATGCCGATTTCAGGAGTTTCTTCATGAGACTGACAAGGAGTTCTGCAAGGTGTATCTTCAATGTCAATTAACTCTGGAATTTCCGTGCTTGGAGCAGATGGAAACTCAACCACTGATTCACAACAGTTATTTTGATTACTGCATTCGGAAGCAACATATTCCTCTATGGAATTTATCTTCGATGTCAGATTTGCACCAACATCCTGATAATCTGAAGGCATAGAGGAATCTGGCTCATGTGTCTTTTCTTTTGGACCTTCTAGAAGGGTGCTGGAACTGAAATAAATCAAAACGTTAAACTTAATCAAAAGAGATGTTCAATCCCTTGTTCTTTGTAGTGATACCTATCTGTTTTATCTACATTTCTATACGTTTTGTGTAACTAGACTAAACAAATCTTAGAAAAAGTTAGAACGGGTTTGAAATCTAATACATGCAAGACAAAGTTACAAAAAGAAAAGAAGAGAAAAAAAGAGTGTACCTGACATATGCACTTGCAAAGTATTTGCATTCTGATTTCATGGGACACGCATTACAATTGGGAATAACTTTTGTACAAAAAACCTGAGGTTAACAAGATTTGATCCAAATGGGTAGGTTAATTGACAACATTAAAGAAAAAAATAAGCTTTCTTGTTGTGTATACCTTTCCAAAGGTTATCAATTGATAATGCAACTCGTACCTGTAAAAACAATAGCATTAGATAAGCAATTCATGCTCATGTTGTATAACAAATTACTGGTACGCTGAATAATAATCTTTTAACTTACAGAATTTCTAGAGGAAGTTTACATAGTCTTGTCCAAAGATACTTCTGAATTGCATCCATTGAAGGGTAACTGAAAAAGAAAAGGAAAAACAAAAAATGGTTTAGTTATCAATAAACTGCTGTATACATTTTATAAAAAAAAATTGAAAATGACTTAACTGAAATAACTGATGCATTTGAACTCCATTTGATAAAGGTTCAAGAGGAACCCAACCAAGACGAACTGCTATACGTCCGACGTTAGTATCAACCTATACACATCCAAAAAGGGTGACTTTAATGGTTAAGAGATAACAACTACATGTCAAATAAAAAATCACAATAACTTTATTTCATACCGGGAAAGCAGCATGTTTCAGTCCTAACAACCGTACGCACTCAGCACTCTTTAACCCTATCCCTTCAATCTCCAGTAGATATCTCCTGATAATATGATATGAAACTTTAAGGATAAGGAAACTTTTTCAGTACATAATGAAATCAAGGATAACATAAGAATCAAACGTAAGCATACTTTACTAGATCAGATGGACCATCACGGAGCCATTCAAGATCCACAGTTCCATTTTGCTCTGCTTCGTCATTGAGGAATTTCTTCAGAAAACCAAAGAGAAAATATAGTTTCAAATCTTTACAATGATTTATCAACAAGGTATTCAGAATGATGTATCTTATCTTACCAATATTTTCCTGGCAAGTTCATTGTGTTGCCCCCGTTTCTTGATGGTATTTGCAAGATTTTGTTGGTCAGTTAATCTCACAGCATCCCAGTCAACAATGTCTTCATGCATCACGTCCCGATGTCCTTCTTTGGTGAACATTTTTCTCAGATTCTTCCAATCAACTTTCTCATCTTCCATGATACCGGTTTTTTTGTTTTTCCTCTGTGCAACATTTTCACGTTTTTCCACATTTTCTGGAAAGGAGATAGACTCCGGCAAACTTTTAGCATCATCGTCCCCACTATGAATTGGTCTTTGCTCATCAACAACTGAGTCATTAACCTCTAGAGGTTCCTCGACGGAATATGCTAGGCTTTCCAGACTTTCTTTTACATCTATGGGAAACTTTGCAGCCACACTCATAAAAGCATTGCTGTAAAAAATCAGAATCAAAGCAAAAATGTTAATCTCAGGGTTTTTTTTTGTTTCTTTAGAGGTTTAAAATTCAGATTTTACCTTGAAAGATAATCAGACACGTTTTGTGTCAAAAAAACTCCAACCACTGAATCAACAACTGAGCCTTTCCACTTCTTGAATTTTCTATTCCCTGCAAAATAGTTATCGCTAAGATAATGAACAATATACCTTATATGTGGTCACATAAACTTGGATTACTTCAAAAAAGTATATATACGTATAAACTCGTTCTAAATATTAATACAATTGATAATAAATTTACCTTGCAATTGATGCATCCGGTTGATGAAAAGCTCTATATGAGCTTTAAATATCTCCCTTTTCTCTTTCCACTTGGACTCTGTCTCCTCATCGGCATATGATCTGCTTGGACTATCATTTTCCATCAATAGCTCCCACTCCTTAATGGTTTCAGGATCAAGATCAACTTTTGCGGTAACAAGTTGTTTCTTTGCCTTGCCCAAAGCTGTTACCCTCGTTTTGTTGAGATTTAATCTGCTCAACGCTTTGATTAACTTAGCAACATCCTTGGCTTTTTTTACTGGACGTTCTTGGACTACGTCACAAACAGATCTCATAAGTGTATCTGCAACAAAAACAAAAAATAGTGTTGAGTAAGTGTTTCAGATGTTTCTACGATTTTTTCCCTAAGCATTTGAAAAAAGAAAATGTGATTACCTTCCATGTGCAATGGAACATCAGCTAGAGATGAAAGGCCGTGTTCTTTTTGATAATTCAACTGTTGGATCAAATGCGCATCAAACTCCTTCATTCTTTTCTTGTGTAGCTTTGAGTTTACGTTACTTGAAGCCGTCACTGGTGTTTCTGAAAATAAAACACACAAATGATACGATTATAATTCGTAGAGATAATAGAATCAAACTTTCAGTGGAATTACGATAAACTATACGAATAACATGATTACCTTGGATCTGAACTTGAACTGGAACATCTTTGATTGAGAGCTTCTCAACATCAACAGGTTTTTTATCTTTGATTGAGAGTTTCTCAACATCAACAGGTTTTTTCATGCGCTGCTTTTGGACTACAACAGATTGACATTCATTTTTCTCATGACTTTTATCTTTGATTGAGAGCTTCTCAACATCAACAGGTTTTTTAATGCGCTGTTTTTGGACTGCACAAGATAACAGTAGAAGAAATAATCTCAGACAAACTCTTCCTAGAAAGATAAAGAAAGACATGTGAGATGACAAAGCCATTACCTTTATGATGCTCAACAACATCTTTCGTTCTTTTTCTGCCTTTAGACTGCACTGGATCCACCTTCGCTGCTACATTACTAGCAGTTATCATTTTCTTGTCTGCAAGATATACATTGACAGTAAAATTAGTTACGTACATCAAAAGTATATGTCGAGCAATATTTGACTAGAAAAGGATAAACAAAAAGACTTGATTACCTTCAGTCTTTAAGGAAACATCTGTTTGAGACGAGATGCTGTTGTCTTTCGGAAGAATTGTTACCAAAGGTAAGGTTCCTTCTAGACATTGAAAGGACAAAGCAATTCTAGCCCATCTGACAACATTTTTCTTACGATGAGACCTTCTTGATTGCCTTTTCCAAATGGACACTGAAAATGATATCGGTGATATCAAACCACGGAGATCAGTTCTGCGAACTGCCGCCATCCTCCTTCTCCCTTTTGGAAAATTAGGCCCTGGTTTTCTGCTGAGCTTAAGACAGATGGGAACCTTTTCATCATCAAAGATCAACGTCCGAGCTACGTTTTTTCGTTTGGCCTCG